AGATAGATAGATGATAGATAGATAGATAGATAGATAGATAGATAGATAGATAGATAGATAGATGATAATATAACAAAAATGTTCTAATCTATCACATCAACAGCAAGCTTTATTTACTAACATGGGATTTGGTCTGGATTCACCTATAGTCTCTCTAAACACTCCAATATTATTTCAAACAGGAATCATTGAGCTATTTGGAGAGCACTCTCTCATATTCTGCCTTCTATCTCTATAACGCTGGTTTCTCTGTTACTTACTGGATGTAATGCAGTCACCTGCTCTTATTCACATTATCAAACTGTAAAGATGTGAGTGATATCCTGGGGGTGGGGGATACAACAGTGAGCAAAAATAGAAGTGTATTAATACTGAGGAGCCATTTCCCAAGTATCTATATGACTATACTCAAAACAAAGTGAGCATGCTTGAAGGGCACCAATCAAAGTATCCAAAGCAAACCTCCTTTCTTCTTTACTTTCAGAAGCCCTCTGGGTTCCTCTCCCTATTGGATGAACAGAGTCAAGTGATTTGGTCAGTGGAACCAAACCTTCCCAAAAAGCTGCAGAGCCTCCTGGAATCGTCAAACACAAATGCAGTGTATTCCCCCATGAAGGACGGCAATGGGAATGTTGCCCTTAAAGGTCAAGGTCCAGCCTTCACTGTCATGCACTATGCAGGAAGGGTGAGTCAGAAGGACAGAGGGATGAGCCATATGTGTTGATGAAGCAGCAGTGCTGGGAGTGAGCTTTAGAGAGTGGCATTCCAGGATATGTTATATTGAAAGCTAGATTAACAACCGACAGTAATTACCTTTTTGTAAGCTCTTTGCTTTTCATCTGGAACTGAGTTAATATCAGAAGAGTGTGCTGTGCACAGCACTACCATCTCATTGTGTCTAGACTCATTTAATATGAGCAAAAGAGCCCCGGGCTTAGTACAAAGAGCTCTGCTCTATACTTTGGGGATATCTTTCTTAACACAAACTTGGGGCCTCTGAATGTACTTGACCTGAGTGCAGGGTTAGTATTGAAGTATTTTTCTTAGAGGATGTCAAGCTAAGAAAGCAAGCCTTCTGCCCTCCCCCAGATCTCTAGATGGGTTTGCAAAGCTCATTTCCTCCTTCAGAGGCTCCCCCTCACCTACACGAACATCCTCAAGCTCCTTTGTCATCTCTTTCCAGGATGCACCAAGCAGATGCAACTTTGTCCCAGGGCTTTGGGCATGATTCTCATTAGGTTGTGTTCCAATCTTTTGCTGTTCAGCCTCATTCATACTCCCATTAACTCCTTAACAGTCAGACTTGAAATATCCTTCCTGCCCCCTCAACAAGAGCACATTTATCCATCTGGATAATCAAATCCTTCTCTATTTAACCTCCATCAACTCTTGTCTGTAGCTAATGTCACTCATTTTTGATCTATAACACCCCCCCAACACACACACACACACACACACACACACACACACACACACACACACCCCTTAGGAACAGCCATAGTAGAAATTTATATACTTAAGGGAAAAATTCCAGGTCACCAATGTATCTCAGTTCATCTCTACCCTTGGTTACTGAGACTCTGCTAGCCACTAAAGGAGGATCAAAGATGAGCCAGGAACATGCTATACCTCATAGTCAAATAACAGAAAGACCAAGTAATAATGCTGGTGTTGTTAGCACAATACCATATAATACTATTTCCACAGATAAGGAAGTAATTACTTGGCTCAAAGTAGTATAGAAATGTTCTCCAAAAGAGCTCACTAGCTATGGAGGAGAAGGTATTCCAATGAAGACATGGAACTTGCACAGGAGTCAGTTGCACTGGATAGAATCTACTATAGTTGTCTAAGCAGAAAATAATTCAGTACAGGCAAAAGACATTGAGAGACTCTAAGTTCCAATTTTAGGAGTATAGGGCTAGAGAGATGGCTCAGTGGTTAAGAGCGTTGACTCTCTTACAGAGGACCCAGGCTTGAGTCCCAGCACCTACATGGTGTCTACTAACCATCCTTAATTCCAGTTCCAGGGGAATCTGAAGCCCTCTTCTGACCTCCACGGCATTGCATGACATGGGTGCACTCACATACATACAGGCAATACACTCATACACATAAAATAAAAATAATAAATTAATTTTTTTAAAAATAAAAAATTTTAGGGGTGCCCTGAAGCCATACATGAAACCAAGCCACTCAGATATATATGACTCCAGTGTTGATCTGGAAGACACAGTCCCAACTGAGATGCTGTTGCTACAGGTTCTAATGTTACTACAGCCACCCTGGCACTCAGCATCAAAGAAGCAAGGGTCTAGGTCCAGGGCTAACCACTGCAGAGCAAAGATGAGCATCTGGGTGACAATCTTTCCTCATAAAATTTAGGAGGTGTGGCCTCCATCACTTCTGTCTTCCAAACCATGACAATAGCGGAAGTAGAGTTAATTTCCAGAAGCAAGGGAGTCTGAGAAGGAGCTTCTTTTCCTTCAACCTCTGCAGTGGGGGAAGCAGTAAGGAGCGTGAGCAGGTACACTGCCCTACCTTATCTACCCACATAGTATTTGGGAAAGGGTGTGAGTTCAATTAAGTGAAGAGTGGTAAATGAACCAATAGTGTTGGGTTTGGCCAAATCTTGAGTACTCAAACCCTATTAAAGACTTCATCCTTTTGACTCCTGGAATATTTTCAGACAGGAACAGATGAAACAGTAAGAAAAACCAAGCAGGGGGTATTAGATGGATGGGGAGAAGGCAAAGAAGGCCTCCAGATGCTTGGTTAGAGTCTGAATTTCAGCTACAGCAGGGGACAAAGAGCTGGCCCTCGTGGGAAGAGGGCAGGAGGAATGTGACAGAAGGTGTGCAAAACTAGAAGTCATATCAGAGAAGGACCCTCAGAGTCCTCCTATGGCACCCAGAAAAAAGGCTGCATTGTGCCAGTCAAGTCGGGGGCAACTTGGAAAGGAGGCACTCAGTTTCACGTGCTCTGAACCAGTGGAGGTGGGGGGTACTAGAAATCCTAATCAGATGATCATGAAAATACTTGCTGCTGGAATGAAAGAGGTTGGCTGGTTCTAGAAACATACTTATATTTTGGAAATGTGCACTGTGACTGATAATTCTTCAAAGAAATGAAATGGAGAACAATATGGAAAAGCATAGAATCACAGACCCCCCCCAAAGGAGACCAGCAGACACCCAGGATGAGGGGGCAGTTAGGCAACATGTCCACTGTGAGAAGCAACAGTCAGCTGGAATCGTTAGATGGTTGGAAGGGTCTGTAGAAAGAGGTTGACAGAAAATATGATCTCTCCATCCCTAGGTAGTTAATGAATTTTTACTCCTACTTGTCCTTTAATAATTTTCTCTGAGCACAGGAAAGTTTTAGTGTTGTGTTCAGATTTTAAAATTTTTATTTATTTTTATTTTTATATGTATGAGTGGATTATCTGCATGTGTATAAGTACACCTTTGTCTTTCAGTGCCCACGAAGGTCAGAAGAGGGTGTTGGATCCTGTGGAAATGAAGTTAAGGACAATTGTTAGGTGCCATGTGGGTGCTGGGAATCAAACCCAAATCCTTTGTAAGAGATGCCAGTGCTCTTAACCACTGAGTCATCTCTCCAGCTCCGTGTTCAGGTTTTTTAATCTCTGTCTTGTCATTAAACATTTACTGAGTTTATAGAAAACATGAAAGAATGTACAATCAGGTATCAAAAGCCCCCATGGAATCATGAATTTTCTTTTAAAAGCATCTTTTTTTAAAAAGAGACTATTCCATAATCGGTGTCGATTTTGTGGTTTTACAGAAATTTTTCATTTCAGTGTGATGTACTAATGATTCTTAGCCAAAGGACCCCCCAAGGATTTGTCCACATGGTACAGTGTAGATTATATGTGATTTATGGCAATATGTCAACCCATATGCCATTCGAATCATCAAATGTAGTCACATGCACTTAAATGTTGAGCTGTTGCATTAGAAAAAAACAATAGCAGGATATTTTGCATTTTATCAATCAAGAGATGTAGAAAAAGTTCATTGATTTAAAAGCAGCATATAGTGTCTATGCTATACAACCTTTGACACTAGTGCTGACCCTTAGAGTGACTCAACAGCCCTGTGTGCTCTTGAATCTCTTGGTAGCATCTTCTTGTCCAGATGGATGGGATAGAACATCTTTTATAACTGCATGCTCTTCCCTGGCAGGCTTACCTGGTCATTTTAATGAGAATACATTATTAGGAAAAGCAGCTCTTACTGCTGGGGATGGGGATTTCTACTGGCATTGGCCCCCACCTGGATGGGCTCTGGATGGACTGACCTGATCTAGGAGCTCCGATAAGAAACCCATGCCCCACTTCAGAAGCTTGTTTGAAGCGGAAGCTCAGAGGTCCTTTTAGGAATGTTTAAGCACCATTATCTGAATTATAGCTGAAGATCGTTCCTAAACACATCTGAATTTTTCATTACTCCTAGGAGCACAGTGTAGCTCCAGTGTCCATTACAGAAATATTTTAAAGTAAATGGGAAGAGGCTGTGCATGAAATATTAACGAGGTCTCCTTAATGAGAATACATTTGAATTAAAGAAGGCTTTAGGGGCTTGGGGGTTTGTCTTTTTGTTTGATTATTTGTTTTAGCCAATTTGAAATCATATATGGGATTACCTGTTTTAGGGGTTGATCTTAACCCACTGGTTTAAATGACAGATAAGCATTAAACCGGTGTGTCTGATTTTATTGGCTATTAAAATTAAGAATCTTGAAGGAAAGAGGAATTATAGCTTGACAAAAGACACTGGCTCTTAGGAGAGTTGAATTTCCATTAAGGTGATTCTAAACTAACTCTAGCAGGAAATAGTTCTTTAAAGCTCCCAAATCTCGATGTGAGAAAAGTGAATGGATTATGAAGTTATAAAGTGATCTGAGGTTTAAAACAAAGATTAAATTAATGAAAATTTAAGTAAAAACGCATCGTTTTGAAATATGCATCCCACGCCTGTGTGACATGTCCGAGTGCTTGGAAGCTGTGGATGTAAATACGGCGTGTTTGTAGTAGAGGTCTCTCACTATGTGTCATTGCGGGTAGAAGATGAGATCGTCTGAGATTGTGAAGAACACTAAATCTAATGGGAATATGCAGGGGGCCTTTGGGAGAGAAATGGAGGTGGTCATATGACCCCAAGAGGCCAAAATTAGTCATCTAGTCAATGAGCCGGCAAGAACAGAGGTACCCCAGATGGGAGAGGCAGGAAGAATCAGCTCAGGAGCTCCGCGAAGTCCAACCACGCTCTGTCACCAGAACTGTGAAATAAGAAATTCCTCTTGTTTTAGCTGCTTAGTTTGTGGTTATTGGCTCCTGAGGAAGCTAATAAGGATATTTGCTGTTTTGTGCCATTTTACAGATGAAATTTTATGAAC